AAACACTTATAGGATCCATTCAACTCATTGAACCCACTGATTGGATCCATTGGACTCATTGAATCTACTCAATGAATCTATTGGACTCATCAAACAAACTCATTCGATCCATTGGACTCATTGAACCCACTGATTGGATCCATTAGACTCATTGAACCTACTCATTGGATCCACTAGATTCATGGAACCTACGGATTGGATACATTGGACTTATTTAATCTACTGATTGGTTCCATTGGACTCATCTCACCTATCATTGAATCTATTGGACTCATCAAACACACTCATTGGATCCATTGTACTCATTTAATCTACTCAGTGCATCCATTGGACTCATTCGATCTTCGCATTGGATCCTTTGGACTCATCAAACACACTCATTCGATCCATTGGACTCATTGAACCCACTGATTGGATCCATTGGACTCATTGAATCTACTGAGTGTATTCATTGGGCTTGTCAAAATGATAAACCTGTTCGCAATCTCGTAGGAATGTATGTTTCCGAGTCCGAGCCGATACGGCGAACCGGCTGTGGGAGGCAGAGACAGACAAAAGGGATAAGTGGACAGGCGCATGAACCGCCTCAGAGCAAGAGTGGAGACGACATGGATTCTTTCGAGAGGGACAAGCCTCTGTCAGGTCGAGCCATTCAGGCTGGTCTGTCCGCGACTGATAGACAACCAATTGATTGCAGTGCTCATGAGGAGACAGCCATCTCGAGGGCAACCAATCAGAAAAGCCGACTCGGGTTTCCCATAAAGGCATCAGGTGCTCGCCTCGCCAAACTGACACTTACTTTCTGTCAAACCCGGGCCCCAATTCTCTCCCCCTTTTACTCTGCCTTTACTATTCTCTTCTCAATCTTCTTTTGCCTCTCTTCTCCTCTCTCTCTCTCTCTCGCTCTCTCTTTATATATATATATATATATTTAGATATACCCCACCTTACCCATACCATTATCTATCAATTTATATGTATGTATGTCCGTCTGTATATGCCTTCTCTGCCTCGCTTTATATCTTTCCTTCTATCTCTATTTCTATCCTTAACTCTATCTCTTCCTATCCCTCCTTTCATTTAATATTCACTTTTTCCCCTTCTTTTCCTACTCGGTCCAGTGATCAATACCTCGGTCAGGCGGTAGGGAGTTCAGTCGGGACTTCGGTCGGGACTTTGGTCGGGAGTTCGGTCGGCAGTTCGGTCGAGAGTTCGGTTGGGAATTGGGTCTGTCGACAAGGGCAGTTTGTTGACGAGGTACTGATTGATGCTTGAGTTAGTAAGAAGCGGGACTGCGCAATTTCGGCCGGACGCAATTGCCCTCTTTGTCCGCCTCGTGGGCAGTTACCACGGCCACAGGCGACCGCGATGGTGTCTGCACCACTCTCCTCTCTCCCGAGGCATAGACGCATTCAGGCGGGCCAACGCATCAGCTCTGACTCGGCCAGAACCGGTCGCTCCTGACGCCAGGCTCTGGCACTAATGCGTCTCTGCACCACATCCCATACACATGCATATCCGCTTTCACACACGCACGCGTGCACAAATGGTCGCAGACACACCCGCCGGATGGCCGGGAAAGTGGAAAAGAGTTAGGCGATAGAGGAAAGAGACAGTGAATTACGGGTGGATAGTTGGAGGCAGGGAGAGAGGAGGAGAGAGAAGAACGGGAGATGAGGGAGGGAGAGGGGAAGATAAGAAGGTAGTGATAGCGAAGGACCGATGTAGAATGGGAATGAGGGAGGTGAAGGAGAAAAGGTGTGAGAGAGTGAAGGTCTGAGGAGGAGAGAGAGATGAGGAAAGAGAGGTACTGAGTGAGAGGATGGAGAGGGTGCGAAATAAAGTGAGTAGACTCGTTATAGAAAGAGAGAGAGGAGGCTGATTGTCGGGATAGTCTTGAAACTACTTACTATGAATATAAGTAGCGTAGTTGATTAAAAAACACGACTTTCAATGTAAGTATAATCTGAGGTATGAAGACCAAGATGGTGGGGCCTTTTGTATGGTCGCAGCCTCTTTGACGAGTTGTAATGTGCTGCTAAGAATGGCAAGGCCGACTGACGATGCCGGCGAAACAACTGGGAATGTACCACGTCCACAGTCCAACTCTGGAAATTGTCATGCATACTATGGACTCAGGACAAGATGCGCTCCTCTCAATCTTCCTACCAATACGACTAGGTTTCGAAAACATGGTCAAACTACTTATTCCAATGTAAGTAGTTTACGAGGCTGAAAGTTCTTCTTACGTAAGATGATAGGTTAATCACCGACAATTGAGTAGTGCCACAAACAGGTCAGTAAGCCTCATGGTGCCTGCCAATTTTACCTGGACTTGCCTCTCCGCCTCACTCCCTCACCCCCCCCTTTTCATGAGCACCCCCAACGGGACTCTGACCAGAGTCGTGAGTATTCCGTTGATCTTTACTCTGAATTGCTACAAGATATCCTCCTGTTCAGATGAAAAGGGGCCGAGCTTGCGTTTGTCATGTAGCTTGACTGATAACGTGAGAGCTGATTCCCATTATTACAAAGACTTCAAGATAAATCAAAGTCAAGAGACTAATCAACCTTACCTTATATGCTAGATACACTTAATTACTATATATATATATATACATGAATAAATAAATAAATAAATATACTCATTACTATCTTAGTTATGAGTATAAATATCATTTATTATTTGTTTTGCGAAAAACTCCACATTCAGTGCTAAAAATCACCCTAAGCTACCGAGAGGGATTCGGTTTTTATCCAATA